ATTTGCATATAAATTTGAATCTGATTTATAATTCTGATTAACGGTGTACACTATTAGTGTGATAAACATATAATTGGCATCTGTTATTGATGAATTTATAAAGAGAAATCACAAACTTGAATATGGTTGAATTTCTGTGATGTTCTAAATGTATTTCTACAGGGGCTACAAAACCAAAAAAAGAAGAGCTTCCCTTGATCTGATTGTGAATCAAATCTGTAACATTTGTTCCAAAAAAACTGCTGAGGCCATGAAAATTGTATTCAATTAGCAGGTTTTATTTTTTCATTTGAATCAGCAGCCTTATCTTTGGGGGGAAACTAGGTGTAAGCAAAAGGGAATTTTAGAGGACATTCATTTTCTTTTCTGGGAAATTAGTAGTAAATTCTGGGTAAAAACTAGTGACTTTCTTGTGCGACCCATTTTCTATCATGATCCTTTTAGTGATTTTTACAAAAAAATTCAAATCTTCCGGGGTGACTTATTTGTGATTTGCAGTCACTGGAAAGCCAGTGCCCTGAAATTTCCCCTGGTGTCCAGTGTTACTTCAAAGTCAAAGGATTGGGACTCCCTGATGAACACAAAGGGCAAATTGTCATTTGAGCAGACAAGCTCTAGAGTAACAATGGAGTTGTAACATATTTCACTTCATGTCACCTGACACCTACTGCCCTCAGATATTTCCTGGTGAAAGTATGAGGGGCCATCTCTAGTTTTCCTTCTAGACTCCAATTCCAGGGTTCCATTTTTTCTGCCAAGGGGCTGTACACTGTAGAAAATAGTGGGGAAGTTATGTACAGTGGGTAGACAGTGAAAAGTGACTGCTTATTTTGGATTCAAGAGATCCAAAACACAGACTTGAAGTCACAAGACTCGGTCAAGTGGTGCAGAATAGGTTCTAAAAATGAATATGAAAAAATAAAAACAAAAAACAAAGTTTCAAAATTTGTGAAAAATAAAAAAATAAAATTAATTTTTCTCAAAAGCTTTGAAATTCATTTTGGGTGAGTGAGAGTGCTGAGAGAAAGGAAGATTAAGATATTAGATTTAGAAGAATGATTATGAATGAAAATTTTGGAAAAATTGCTTTCCAGATGGCTTCAAAGAGCTGTTGATTGGGGCATTCACCAGCCCACATTGCAGTAAAGCACTAGAATTTACTGTTTTGGCTCCAATCTGGACATCCAACCTGGCCAAACCTTTTTGGGTTCCAATTTTTTTCATTTATAATCATTCTTTCCATGTTCCACTCTTTCTTTCTCTCAGCAGGCCCACTCCCCCAAAATGAATATCAAAGCTTTTGAAAAAAAATCAGTTTTATTTTTTTATTTTTCACAAATTTTGAAACTTTACTTTTTGTTTTTGTTTTTTCATATTCATTTTCTGGGACCTATTATGCACCACCAGAACAAGTCTCATAACTTCCAGTCTGTGTTTGGGAGCTCTGGAATCCAATAAAAGCAGCCACTTTTCACTGTCTACCCACTGTACATATATAAGTAATAATATCTCTAATTATAAATAAATGCTATGTTCAGACTGGCTCTGAATAGTAGCAGGCTGACAGGTATCATGAATTCAAGCTGGTGGGTTGGTTTTGTGTACTCCAAACAAACTGGCTATAAACATCTGGGAGGTTACTGTACACCAACAGTATTGTTATTTTTCAAGATACAATGCAAGCAGCACCAGTCCATCTAAGCTAACTGTAAATGGAATATTTCTGATATTTTGATAGTAAAATTGTGCTGATGCTATGTGTTTTCTCCATAATAGAATTGGTTTCTAAAATGTGCTACACTAATCTTTGAGAGGAAACCCCACCTCTATGGAAGGGATGTGTTCCACTTGCTAGCTGTCCATTTTTTGTTGTGTAGTGTAGTGGTCCACCATTGCTACAAGGAAAATACTGTCACGTGTTTCTTCTTGAATAGTGATATTGTTTTAGCTCACATTTTTCAGTTTTTGATGTGTCTGTGGTTTGTTTGGAACATATCAAGTAGTCATTATATGTTCTTGATGTTATCAGTCAGAAAAGATTCAATGACAGATGCACAACAGAAATTTTGAAATAACAGATGCACTTTTTTCAAAAGAAGAAAATCTTTCCTCATTGATTGACTAATAATTAGTGCATTTGCATTTTTTGTATGAGGTTGGAGTTGATCAATCAAGTTTATATATTGGTTTGTTTGATCCTTTACAATATGATGCAAATACAGTCAAATGTATCAAACCACTGTTGGAAAACTCCCCTCAATTAGAGGTGTTTCCAGAAATCATAGAGAAAGTGTTGGAAGGAACAGCTTGATGTTCTCTAATTTGAATCTTTGGGAATGGGAACCCCCTCCCTGGAGATCTGCCTATCTTCCACTCAAGAATTTTGGTTTCCTGACAAACCATAAGAACTGCATGGATCTTGTCTACCAGTAGGATCTCATGAAACATTCTTTCAAACATATTCACAAAGCCTTTCTGACTTATCATTCCATCAATCTGAGACATTTGTACCTCATGATATTTAGGTATGCAGGTGACCTGGATCAAAGAAATCAAACATTTTTGCCAGACTTTTCAGATGGTGCCATGTTCCATGTGATTGCACACAGGCACATTTGAAAATCCAAAATTGTGAGTGGAAGATGGGGGGATGTGTAGCAGTTTGCCACGCCCACCACCAGATAATCATGTTTACATTAGGTTCAACTCAAGCCCCTCCTTTGGAGGCTTGCTTGGGTGTCGCAGGAACCGCGCGTGCTGCGGGATGTCCTTCGAGGGATGAAGGGACGCGTGTTTGGGTGTCGGAGGTGTGCGGGAACCGATCGACAGACGACGATCAAAACATAAATACATAATGCCCGATGAAACCAGGCCAGACACGATCCCCGGTACGTATCACTCTGTCTCGTCAGCCCCGGGTTAACCAAGTGTTTGAGAACATCCTGCTGAATAAAAATCGTCTCATTTCTTTACAGATCTCATTATCAAGCTGCTCTACAACATCACCGATCGGTACCGCAGGATAGACATTTATGATGACGGGAGTGAGTCGCTCTCGGATGTTGATGACGAGACGGTATGGGTTCATGATAACTGGAGATACGCCAGAGCGGAAGCTCTGTCGATCGGCGAAATCGACGATCTCAATGCTCTCCTCCTTCAGATGCAAAACTCCACTCTACCTGCGTTACAACAGCAACTTGGCGAAATGTTGGAATCGCTGAACCTAGATGATCTACCTGCCCGAGTTCCAAATCCAAATCTTTTCTATGCTCCAGAAATCGTATTCCGACTCGGCCATACCGTCGATCAAATCAATCATTTTGTCCAGTCCATTGCCCCGATTGTTGTGAATCCGTTGCACATACCTCAGAAGAGCGATCATGATTACGGTGGTTTGAAAGTCTACAGGTCCACTGATCTGATAGAGAAATTGAACGACTTAATGCGCCAAAATGTTATACAGGCCTTACTCCACCATCATGTCCTGTTCATTCGAGCCTGTTCAAACAATCATCGGACCAGTTCTTACGATGAATCCCAACTGAAGTTCCACTCAAAAAATCTTGCGCAAGCAACTGCTCAAACCTCGGAGGCAATCGATCGTCTAATCAAATGGTCCAAGAAATCGGATTTCGGTTTGATTCAGGCCGACTGTCAAAGTTTCGCAAATGATCTCGATCCGATTCTGGAAAACCTATTCACACGAATAATCTCAAAAGTCACACCAGAACAACGGCGTAAATCAATTAATGCGGGACATACCAATCAATCTCAAGCTGGACCTGAAAATGAACGTCAAGACACTGGGTCTGATATCGACTCCAGCGATGCTCAACACAATCAACCCAGCGCGAGCCGTTTGACTGACTCATTTGATGACACCTCTCTGAGCTTGCACCTCATGAGGCTGACTGAGGCAACCATACCACTAATCAAAATTCTCAGGATTTTCTTCAAAAAACTATCGGACACACCAATAAGTAAAGCACCATTCACGATCAGTGCCCAACTGTGTTCCGATCAGATCAACCCAATGGATTACGAACTTGGCTCTCTCGATTGTGGCATCGAAAACCTTCTGAACGTCATATATCAGCTTGACGATGGTCCGATAGACATGGCACAAGTGAAGTATCTGGAGACCTTGCACGAAGAGCTCTATCGCCATTTCAATTCATCCCTAACCTTACTATGCTTCCATCTGATACCTTTGAGTGAGACTCAGTATCATCTTCCCAGATCTGTAAATCTCTGTAAAACTTGGTTTTTTACTTTAAGAGAACAATTCTGCTTGGCTTCTGACATGTTTGTAGAGGCTCTATACCAGATGAAAATTGCTATACAAATGTAATCAATCTGTTCTCAACTGTGGATCTCAGCAATCCTGGAGGATTCTCTGAGTGTACACTTTGTTGAAATCTGTGCCCCATGGCAGAAAGCTCTCCTGAACCAAATCAAATTCAACACCTTTTTACTTTGCCACCTCTATTCCCCTGAAAACATTTCAAAATTCATAGGATAAAAAAAATCAACAAAAATCCCGTTTGATATGGAAGATAAAGATACTTCCAACTTCCCAAACCCTGGCCCACCTGTCTCTCAATCATTCTCAACACAATCCTGTTAATGGATTTCAAAGTTAATCTCAGAACTTCTCTCCCACCCAGAACTAAAGAACCTATGACTGATGTTTTCCAAACCAAGGTGTTAGAGCACAAGCAACATGAACTAACAAAGAGAGCAAAGAACAACCAAAGCTGTGTCAAGCAAGATGAAAGGAAGACACAGAAACAAAGAGACTAGAAAATTGGATCATATTCATTTCTCACCTCATGGTTTCCAAGCCTCGGTGTTAGAGCATGACCAATAGGAACCGATGAAGAGGGCAAAGAACAAGCAAACCTACACAGCTAAATCAGCGGACATGGGCTACAATACCGCTAAACCTAGTGGATTGCCACTACTTGGCTGACAAAAATACAGCCTTTTTTCAGTGATTTTGATCAGTGCAAGTGGTGGTGCTCTGCCCACTATAATGGAGTACAGTACAGAGGGTAAAAAAGCTTGCACTAACTGCAGAGCAGCTGTTACAACGTTGATACAATGGAGTGCATTAGGGGAGTTCACATTAGTGCTGCTTCCCAAGCAAGAGTTGTGGCATCTGCAAGAATTTTCTTGGGTCCTGTGCTGTGCAATTGGTTTTAGTGGGCAAAAGGCTTGATCTGGTAGGCAAGAAATGGGTTTGCGAGGTCTGACTCCCAATTAAAGGGTTGGATGTCCTGAATACCACCTTCAGACGGTCCTTCTGACGTCCCAGAAATTTGGGAGTCAGAGTTCCAATTTCTGGGAGTACTGTTGTTTAATCAAGACCCAAAAAATAACAGGGTTGGGAAGCAAGAAATGCTATTGTGAATGTTGACAAAAAAGCCTGTTGGAATTTCCGCTCCCTACACTCTACACTCCGCTATCTCCGCTCTGTTTTGTTCTCTTTGCCTTTTTTTCTCTCCTTCCCGCTCCGCTCACTTCTCCTCCGTCCCGTTCTCCTTGCTCTCTCTCTCCTCAATCCCTGTATTTTTCCTCTCGTCTCCATCTTCCCCTTCTGTATGTTTCAGCCTCACAACTCCCTCAAAACCACAAGTCAGCCGTAACCCAACACAACCACAAGTCGAACGTCTCACCAATCAGTATAAATAAAGGGATCAATGCCCCTTCTCACCGTCTTTTCCTCAGCAGTCTCCGACATCTCGATCTCAACATCGACTTCCTTCAACCACCCACATCGCCTCCACTGCTCGGCTCCTCGTCAACTCCAAACTCCACCACCAATCCTATCCAAAAATTCCTCTATTTGTCTCTCTCCGTCTTCCCTTCTTTTCTTCCCTATTTCTCTACTTCATCTCTCTCATCTCCCTTCTTGCTCACTCTCACCGTTGTCGATTCCACTTAAACTCAAGCTCACTTCATCCTCCGCTCATACTCATTCCGCCAACTACTTCCCTTGAAATACTCATTTGGCTATTGCTAATTTGGTGAGAAAAAACATTGTCATCTTTTCCTTTTTGTGTGTTATCAATTATTGACCTTTTTTTATTTTCAAAAACATTTATTTCCCTCTTGCTCAAAAAATACAGTGTCTACTACCTGTCTCTGTTTGATCTCATTTATTTCAGTCTTTCTGCTTTGTCTAAATCAAAAGACAACTCTACTCGTGGTAATTCTTCTTTCTTTATTTTTCATATCATTGTTGATTCTTTTTTCTTTTGAAGCTTCAAACTCATGTTTATTGTGTTTTAGTTCTGGTTCTATTTTCAGTAATTATTCCTGTTTTTCATCAAAGCCCATCAATTGAAGGTGTTTTAAGAGCTGATAGAGCAAGCCTTGGAAGGAGAGCATCTAATCATTTTGGCATGAATGGTTTTGAACCTTTGTTGGTGAAAAACTTCTGCAAATCCCTTCCTGGAGAACTGCTGTACAATCTCACTCGCTTGTAACTCACTATATTTGACATACAGGTGACCTGGATCAAAGAGATCATAAACTTTGAAAGGGTTTCTAATTGGTACCAGGTTCCATGTGATTGTGGGCACATTAAACCGAAGCAAATAATTGTGAGAGGAAGATGGGGGGTGGTGGCAGTTTTCCTGTGCAAAGAATCTACATCAACGGACACACCCCAAAATGCTTACCCCAAAATGCTTGCCCCAAAATGCTTACGTCAGGCCCAAGCCCCTCCTCTGTAGGCTCTGCAGAACTTCAATCGAGGCAAGTGGGATTCCCTCGATTGCTCATTAACAGCCATCAACCAAATCATAATTCATAATGCTCGACCATGAAACCAGACCAAATAAGAGCAGCGGTACGTATGACTGCATTTCATTAATTCTGGGCAATCAAGGTTTGGCAAACACTCTGATCAATCAAAATTGTCTGATTTTTTTTTCAGACCTCATCATCAAGCTGCTCAACAGTATCACTAACAGATACCGCCGGATAGACGTTTATGATGAGGGGAGTGAGTCGCCCGAGGATCTTGATGACGAGACGGTATGGGTTCATGATAACTGGAGATACGCTAGAGGGGAAGCACTGTCAATCGGCGAAATCGACAACCTGAATGCTCTCCTCCTTCAAATGGAAAACCTTGTTCTACCTTTGTTACAACAGCAGCTCAACGAAATGTTGGAATCACTGAACCTGGATGATCTATCTGCAAAAGTTCAAAGTCCAAATCTTTTCTATGCCCCAGAGATCGTATTCCGACTCGGCCATACCGTCGATCAAATTGCACGTTTCGTCCAGTCCATCGCCCCGATTGTCGTGGATCCGATGCACTCATACAAGAAGAACGATCACGATTATGGTGGTTTGAAATTCTACAGGACCGCTGATCTGATAGAAAAAGTGAATGACTTAATACATCAACATGTCCAGACTCTAATCGACCACCATGTCCGGTTCATTCGAGCCCGTTCAAATTATCATCAGATCGGTTTTTACAATGAATCCGAATTGATTTTGCAGTCACGCAATCTCATCAAAGCAACAGCACAAACCTCGAAAGCAATCGATCATATTATCAAATGGTCCAAGAAGTCCGATTTCAGTATGCTCCAAGACGACTGTCTGAGGTTTGCAAAAGATCTCGATCCCGTTCTGGAAGAGCTCACCAGACGAATCTTCTTGCAAACCCGGTTAGAAAAACGACGCAAATCGATTGATGAGGGACATACCAATCGTCTTCGAGCTGAGCGGGAAAATGAACATGAAGACATTGGGCCGCATAGCAACTCCAACAATCCTCAAGATAATCAATCCAATACTAGACGTTTGACTGACTCATTCGAAGAGATCTCTCCAGCACCGCAACTCATTCAGCTAGCCAAGACGACTGTACCCATAATCAAAATACTCAGAATATTTTTCAACAAACTATCAAACACATCAATAACTAAAGCACCATTCACGATGAGTACTCGACTGTGTTCCAACGAGCTCAACCCGATGGATTACGAAATTTGCTCTCTCGATTGCGGCATCAAAAACCTTCTGAATACCATGTATAAATTGCATGATAGTCCAATGGAGGCGGACCAAGTCAGATATCTTCAGAGCTCGGTTGACGACCTCGGTGCTCATCTTGATGCCTCGCTAACCTTACTATCTTTCCATCTGATACCGTTGAGTGAGGCTCAGTATAATCTTCCTAGATCTGTTAATCTCTGTAAAGCTTGGTTTCTTACTTTAAGAGAGTATTTCCAGGAGGCTTCTGACCACTTTGGTCATGCTGTCTTCCAGGTGAGATATGCTATGCAAATCTAATCAATCTGTTGGTAATCAATCCCTTGTTGTGAAGAAGCCTACATTTCATTGGAAGTCAAATGACAATAAATCCATTATATATTTTTATCGATGGATTTACTTGTTTCAAGAGCTCATAAAGCAAGCCTTGAAAGCAGACATATATATGTAATTGCGCCCTCCCTCTTGACATCTTCCACTCAAAAAATGTTGGTTTTTTCTGATCATGGGCCATTAGAGCTGCATGGCTCTTGCCTACCATCAGATGAAACATAGGTTTCTTTGCTAGCTTTTTCAAAAACCCCTTCAAAATCCATCATTACATCAACCTGGGCCATTTGTACCTCACTGTATTTAGGCATGCAAGTGACCTGCAGCGGAGAAATCACACACTTTGCAAGGCCTTTTTATAGATGGTGCCATGTGCCATGTGATTGTGGGTACCATCCAAAAATCAACATTTGTGAGGGGAAGATGGCAGAGGCTGGTTGGTGTTAAGCTAGGTTTTCCATCAGTAAAAAATCAAAATCTTGAAGCTTGCATGCCAAGATTTTTGTAGCTTTACATTCAAGTCCCGCTTTTGATGTGCGAGGAATGTTGGTCCTCACCAGTGGAACTACATAGTACGTTTCTGGCACTTTCAACACTACATCATATCCAGTACTGGATATGGAGTAAAAAAACTGGATATTCAGTGTTTTTTTTTTAAAAAAAAAAATGGTGTGAAGAGGTGAACAAAAAAAAATATAAAAATACTACATATCCAGGTTTATTTTACTGCACATCCAGTGCGGGATATGAAGTTATGCTTTGAGTGTGGGCGAGGAGATCGGGGCAACCATTTTCCTCACTTTTTCATGAATTTTGTTGTATTGCTCATAATCTACAACAGCTTCAACCTCAAGACTTTCGCCATAGAACCACCTGGATCTCTGCTTTTTTCTGGTGCATTATATGATTCAGTCAGTCAATTGCTACAGTGTTCTACCATCGACCAATCGAACCACAATGCTCAACCATAAAGCCAGGCCAAATAACGTCACCGGTACGTATGACTGCATCTCATTGATTACCCCTGTGCAATCAAGTTTTTGCACACATTCTGCTGATTCAAAATTGTGTGGTTTCTTTCCAGATCTCATTATCATGCTCAACAGCATCACTGATGTTGGAATTTCATTCCTAATTCTAGCCCTCGCAAGAGGAGAGCATCGGGTAAGCTTTACACTTAGAATGTAAGCTACCTAGAAAACTAAAAACTAAATACTGATCATGTTTATTCGATCATGTATAGAGCATAAAGTATGCGACAGTACAGCTAAGCGACAAGCTTATGATAAAGAAGATGACGTCAATGACGTCATGAGTCTAGACAGTGATGATCGTCAATCATCGAGCTCTAGGTGAGTCTCGATGATGATGATCAAGTAGAGAGAATGATCGCTAACGATCACTCTATCTACTTGAACAAAAATTATCACTAGCTCGAACAAACGCAACTCGTTGATTACGCTTATCGACAGAATTTCCTCACCGTCTATCGGTGAGTGTCATAGCCTTTCTTTTTAACATAAAAGAAAGAGAATAATAACTAACAAATGACGATTGATTGATTATTATTAATGATAGCATCGTCAATCAAATAAACAATAATTGTCAAAAGAATTAAACTCGATCTTATCCAACGAGTATAGTCATTCTTCTTCATTCAAAAGAACTATTATTCAAGAAGAGAAATGAGTCTTTAGAACTAATTCAATACTCTTTTCTTTACAATATAGATCATCAATTTATACTTATCCGAAGAAGTCTTAGCACTATATTATCATTATCATTTCTTTACTTTACCTAGTTCAGATTATATTCTGCCTTTAGGTAAAAAGTCTTTTCCTATTTATGTTAAATTGTTGTATTTTACACTTTAAGAAAAGATGACTTATAAAGAAATAATGCCTTTAGCTTCCAAATTCTTTCAGATTTACAGTCTCGACGATTCTCATCAACGATCTCGATTCATACAGATTTGGATACTTTTTAAAGGCAGAATAAAATCTGACGATGGAATCCTTTTCACGAAAAGACGCTATGGACGATAAGGGCATCAGCTCTGTTCCCAAATTGACAGGAGAATGTTAATGGATAGACTAAAAGATGTATTTCATTAACACCTGTTTAAAGAAATACAATACGAGAAAAGGAATGAAATGAAAAATATAGTCACCTAAAAGCAGTAGATGACAAGAGATAACAACGAATGTTTTATAGAACAATGAGAATGAAATGAGAAAAGAAATCTAACAAAAGAATGTGATCAATACATGAACTTGTAAGTGAAGGAGAAACTGCGACTGAAACCTACAAATGGAAGATTTCGGAAAAAGAGGATCGACGAGTTTCGATGAATGGAAGGGATAAGAATGACAGGTGGCCAAGTGGATCAGGATTTCGAGATGTTGAATTCTGCACGATAGGCAAAGACGTTCGTAGGACAGGAGCGAAGAATGATGATCGATAGGACAGGAGATGCGAAGAATGATGTTCGATAGGACAGGAGAGAAGACAGGAATAGGACAGGAGAGAAGATAGGAGTGGGAGAAGCGACACGAGAGGAGATGGTTTGGTAGGATGGAAGGAAGAGGAATCGAGTGAGAATTTTATGAAGTTAAATGAGGATTTTAGATGAGAGTTTCTTCCTACGGGAAGGAAGGAATCGAAACGATGAAATCAAAGGGAGATGATAAGGAAAAAGAAAAAGGTTTGAGCGGAATGAGAACCGCGTGAGAGCTTGAGCGTCATGATGTCATCGCAGAGATCTGAGCGACATGACATCATAGTTTTGAGGGACAAAGAGCAGTCTAGGTCTCAAGCTTTAGAGCTTAGACATCAACACCCCCCCTTCCCTCAAGACGAAATAGTCCTAAAGAGCGAAGAGATTTCACTAGTGCTGGTCGAGGAACAGATTTTGTGAGAAAATCGGCAAGCATTTTATGCGTCGGGGTGTACTGGAGAATAATTTTTCCATTTTTGATGACTTCTCTAATAAAATGAAGCTGGATTTCAACATGCTTCATTCTTCTGGAGTTGGAGTTGGCATCAAAGTTTGCAACTGAAATACAACCTTGATTATCTTCATGCACAATTGTTGCATTTATAGAGTCGTCGAGACCAATTTCAACTATTAATTGGCGGATCCAGAGGAGTTCACATGAGAAATCGGTGAGTGCACGGTATTCCGCTTCGCACGACGAAAGAGAGACAACTGGTTGCTTTTTAGTTTGCCAACCAATGAGGTGATCATTGAACAGCGAGAGGAAACCAGTGACTGAGCGTCGGGTGGCTGGACAATTGCCCCAGTCCGCGTCAGTGTAGCCCTCAAGAGGGCTGACTGATCCTCGCGCGTATACCAGCGCATGGTCGGCGGTCCCAGCAAGATATCGTAGGACATGAGTGAACGATTCCCAATGGAGAATACCGGGGGCCTCCAAAAATTGAGAAAGCTGGCTGACGGCATGAGCAATATCCGGACGAGTCGCTGAGCTTAGATAGCTCAATGCCCCTACAGCGCTACGATAATTAACACCTAAAGAATTGAATCGATCGATCTCTTCGGTCGAAGCTTTGTCGAGTTGACTGTTTGGAATTAGAGGAGTCGCCACAGGCTTGCATGCTGTCATGCCATATAGGGATAAGAGGGAGTTGATGTAATGTAACTGCGAGAGAATTATGGCTGACGGTTCGTGAAGGACTTTTATTCCAAGTAACAGTTCCGCCTTACCCATGTCTTTCATGTCAAACTCATGTTTTATCTCCGCCTTGAAATCTGAGATGTCTTTACCGAATACAGCAATGTCATCCACATGGATGAAGAGCCATACCGGTTTGGCGTCCAAGCGATAGAAAACACAAGGATCGGAAACTGAGATGAAGAAACCCACCGATACTAGCCACTTGGAGAGACGATTATACCAAGCTAGCGGTGCCTGCTTCAAGCCGTATATCGCTTTCTTCAGTTTGAGGCACACTTTCTTTTTATCGAGATTGACACCTTGAGGTACTGAGAGATACACTTCCTCGTCTAAGTCTGCATTGAGGAAGGCAGTTTTTACATCCAACTGTTGGAAATCAAGATCGTTTGCAGCGGCGTAAGAAATAAGAGCGCGAAGAGAATTAAGCCGACCAGTCGGTGCGAACGTTTTTGAGAAGTTAACACCGTGTGTTTGTGAGAATCCTTGCGCACACAAACGTGCTTTGAAGACAACATCGCCATCGCCAGACTTCTTCTTGAATACCCAAGTAGTTCCTACAGTTTTAATACTTGGGGTCAAAGGGACAACATCCCACACCTTCAAGCAATCCATAGCATTGAGTTCCTTCTTGATTGCTCCCTCCCAGGACTTTGCCTCCGCGCAATGAATAGCGCGGTGGTAGTGAGCAGGGATGTCGGGATTGGCGATAGTGATGAATGCTCTTGGTTTTCTAACGCGGCGAGACGACAAGATGTTCGAGGTCGATATATCCCCATTAATGATTTGGGAATTAGAATCTAGCGAGACGAGGGCAGCGTCGTTTAGGTGTTGTCCTTCAGACAAGTGTTGAATTGAGTCTGGTCGAACCGAGGGAGCTATAGCAGTCGCCAAAATTTCAGGAGAATCGGGATCATCATCCTCGTCAAACGAGTCCATAAAGTAATCATTGACCTCATTATCTATACCGGGCACAAAGTCTTCAGAAAACTTCGGAAAGGACGATTCATCGAATAAAGCATGACGGGTCCGGATTAGTTTCTTGTCACTTAATCGGAGGATGCGGAAAACTGTTCCTTCATTTTCAGAGCCGACTAAAACACCAACCTCTGCCTTATTCCCAAACTTCCACGATCGATGAGATTTTGGCACGCAGATGAAGGCTTTGCATCCAAATGTCCTGATACGATGCAGGGGAGGAGGCGATTTAGACCAGAGTTCATAAGGTGAAAAATTGGAACGAGATGGAGTGGGAAGTAGATTGGACACAAACGTGGAAGTGTTAACAGCCTCTGCCCAGTACTTCTTTGGAAGATTACTGGTCAAGAGCATGGCGCGTGCTTTATCGAGCACAGTGCGATTAGCACGCTCTGCATAGCCGTTATGTTCAGGAGTCTCCGGAGGCGAGAAAACGTGACGAATGCCTTGATGTTCGGTGAATTCTTTGAATAAATGACTAGTGAATTCGCCGCCGTTGTCTGAGACGATTTCTTTCACCCGTGACTCTTGAAGATTTTCAACTTCTTTGATGAAAGTTTTCACGGCGTTAAGAGTATCCGATTTAGCCTTCAGAAAACGAACAAATTTGAAAGAGGAGAATTGGTCAACGATGGTGAGAAAATAATTGAAACCGGAAATTGAAGAGGGTTTGATTGGTCCAACCAAATCCATATGAATGCGATGAAGAGGAGAATGAACCGGGGAGAAATGACTTTTGAAGGGAGAGAGTGTCATCTTTGAACAAACACACACCTCACAGACTGATGAGTCAGTCGGTCCTGGTAAATTCATCTTCTTCATGATCGACTGATTAGGATGTCCTAAGCGATGATGCCAAATTTCATGATTGGAGTCGACCTTCTTGCTAAAGTTTACTGATGGCTTGCTTGAGTAGGAGGAGTGCAACAGGTTGTCAATGATTTTTCCAGAAAACAGAGATCCTGACTCGTCCGTGATGTCGAATTGATTCTCAGTTTTCTTGATAGTGATTGAGGTTCTAATCAATCTGACAAGAGAGATGAGCTGCTGAGAGATGTTTGGGACATATAGGCAATCCGATAATATTACTTCCCTATCATTGATGTGGAGGGAAACAGAGCCGTGTCCTTCAGCAATCAGAGGTGCCGAGGGATTCCCGGTGCTGATGGTGATTTTCTTTTGATTTAGGGTAGAGAAAAGCGATCGATCTCGGATCATATGATGAGAAGCAGCTGAGTCGATGATGATGGTATTATGAGAACCTGGGTGAACATAGGTGACGAAAGCCTCAGCATGAGCAAAACTTGCACTCGGGTTCTTCTGATTTCGAGAAGAATTCTTCAGATGAGGATATTTTTCGAAACAGCGATTTTCAGGGTGATTCGATTCCGGATTGTGTTCTTTGGAACCGCAGAGATGAATGATTTTAGTCGGAAACTTTGACTTTGGGGAGGTAGAGGAAGTTGAAACAGTCGAGGTAAAGAGGGCGACGTTCTTTTCGGCCTTACTGAACTTATGAGTCTGGTACGTTTGAAGTTCGTTGAGGACTGAGTAAGGATCAGATACGGCCTTCTCATCAAGAGCCAATTTGTCGACGATTTGATCTAGGTCTTGATTCATGAGCTTCCCAAGAATGAGGTAAGCAATAACTTTGACAGGAACATTGATGCCAACTGCATCGATGTCGATCAGGCAAGCTCGCGTTTCATCAATATAATTTTGAAGGTCCCCCTTGTAAGTTAGAGCGGACCAGGTCATGTAAACGCGACCTTGGTTGATGACCGTTCTTGAAGCGTACTGATCAGCGATTTTCTTCCAGAGGAGGTATGCGCTATCAATGGTCGTACTGTTGACACATTCATTGTAGCATCGTTGGCTCAGTCGAGGTACGATGATTGAGATCGCTCGATCACTAGAGTTGGAGT